TGTTGGGTCCGACTTGGCCCGGGCTGTCAAAATCAACTTTAAACACACAGATGTATCATCAAATGTGTCTACATCTATAGACAAGTATTATGTCTACCTAAAAACCACTTTATAGTGTATAAGATCGCGGTATTTAAAGAAAACAAGGAACTCAAAGTGAAGCTCCTGTGTGTAATCGGTTAAATTGTACGGTATACATTGTAGACAGACAGACAATAATTTATTAATGTCTCACTTGTGTACACACATAAAACAGCTTTGTACAAATCAACATTGACAAAATGTACCGAACCATTCAATAGAATTATGAGAGATTATCCCACTGCTAAGTATATGATAAATTGTTGAATTAACATTAGATAAGGTTGAGAATTAAATGTGTGTTTTTTCAATACATCGTAGACTGGTGAGTCGTCTGCTTGATGATAACCAGCCTACTCATATTTTTACCATTGTTGGAAAGTGTGTCGGCTCAACCTGCTAGCTGGAGCCATCTGGTAACAATTAATCACAAGCTGTCAATATACAATACATTATAACACATCAAGATGGCAGTTTCCATGTAAAGATTAAGTATTTCTAAGCAACTTAAAGATATGCACAATATCTAGATATATGTATCTTTAATTTGCTTAGAAATATTTAATCTTTACATGAAAACTGTCATCTTGATGTATTATTCTGTTTTGTATATTGACAGCTGGCGATTGATTATGAGGTTATACTGTATCATTTTTACTGTTTTGATATTTTACAATATGTTGTGGTCATCAGTTATGCAAATCAGTTTCGGTGTGTCTTTTTAACAAGGCGTTTTTCATTAAGATTCACCGCCAGCCTGATTGTAACAATTACATGTACACTTTGCTTTGACGATGCCGGTTGATGTTGTTCAATACAGGCTGGCGGTGGGTGTTTTTGAATCTATTCTACATGCTAATCATTTCGGGAAGATGATACACATTTCTCTATATTGTGGGTTACTTTGCTCATATAATTTCTGAATATCATTCTTAGTTTTACTTTTTCTCTTCTCCTGCGGTGATATCCAGATTTAAAGATTATACATCTAAACGTACGCAGTCTTAAAGACAAAGTAGATTTAAGCAGTGCTGAATTAGATAGTTATGATGTTGTATGTTTAAAGCCGGGACTGGTCGTCTCGGAGTCAGTAAACTGTGTCTGAGTGGGGTATTTATGTTAAACTGCGGCATGGTATCTCAGTGAGCTAGCACTATAATTCGGCATCAGTCCGGACTAGTACAAGCAGCCACACACACGCACATGTGTGCATGCACGTCGCTATATAAGTGCAATAATCTTGGACGCGACGTTAAACCCAATTTCACCTCACCTCACCTACACTGATACCATTTTCAAATCGTAGCCTGTATAAAGGAATATATTTTAGATCTTAAATCAGAGTATAACGGAAAGCCTGAGCTGGAGGCGCGCGTGGATATGTTGACAGTTTTTACGTAGTTTGCGAGGATTAATAAGATTTCTGAGATTAATAAGAATTCAGTTACGACAGTAACCGTACATGTATTTGTTACATTAAGTCATTTCATTCAAATTTGTTTGGTATAATTATGTCTTATAATTATTTTAGAATGGAAGGTACAGTTACCAAATAAAATATGCTGAAATATCAATTCATTATGATCATATTTCATAATCTGTTTTTTAAAGTAACCCTCCTTATATTAACGATAACCATTTAAAGAATATAGTACTTAAAGACATTGCAACAAACCGAATAATCAGAGGGGAGACTTTATACTGAGGGGGGCGCGAAATGTATCCGCCCGGGGGAGATTTTATTTCAGAACAGATTCTCCGGGGGAGAATCTGTACCGGTATAAAATCCCCGGGGGGAGACTTTGTACGGGGGAGAGTTTATACCGGGACACCGGCAGAATATTTAACCTGTCTCAGTGGTATAAACAAGGTGCATTATGGGCCTACTACTTTTCTTCTTATTTATTAAGGAATTGACTGTATATATACGTGATAGTTTTGAAAATCTGATTTATGTTTCACAGGAAATGTCAAATAGTATTGCATTACTTGTTGCAGATGATGTTATTGTTCCAGATAAAATTACTGGTCTTCAGAACAGATTAAATGCTCTTCAAGATTATTGTGATAAATGGGGTATGGATGTTAATACTGACAAAACCAAATGATTGTTATTGAACCTGGCGGGCCCCTCTGTAGGTATAAAAGATGGTAACTGAATGGTAGGCAGCTTGAAGCAGTAAGTAGCTATACATATGTAGGTTTGATACCCACCCCGAAATTAATTTGGACTAAAGGGTGGAATGTTCTATCGGAAAAAAACTATAATATCTATAATATTATTTTGCAGATGATCTTATTTGTGTTTCAGATAAAGTTATTGGTCATCAGAACAGATTAATTGCTCTACAATTTTATTGCGATAAAAATGGGGTATGGATGTTAATATTGACCAAACCAAATATTGTTGGCGGGACCCTCTCTAGGTATAAAGGATGGTCATTGAATGGTAGGCATCTGGAAGTAATAAGTAGCTATACATATTTATGTTTGATACCAACCCCGAAATTAATTTGGACTAAAGGGTGGAATGTTCTATCGGAAAAAAACTATAATATCTATAATATTATTTTGCAGATGATCTTATTTGTGTTTCAGATAAAGTTATTGGTCATCAGAACAGATTAATTGCTCTACAATTTTATTGCGATAAATGGGGTATGGATGTTAATATTGACCAAACCAAATATTGTTGGCGGGACCCTCTCTAGGTATAAAGGATGGTCATTGAATGGTAGGCATCTGGAAGTAATAAGTAGCTATACATATTTATGTTTGATACCAACCCCGAAATTAATTTGGACTAAAGGGTAGAAGGTTCTTTCTGTACAAGCTCCCAAAACTCTTTTCCCTGTAAGATCTATAATAAGGATTTTTAATTAAAATCTATAATAAGGATCTGCCCGTAAATAATTCATTTAAAATCTTTTACTGGGAAATAATCCCTATTTGGAAGCGAAATATAGGGATTTGTTTATAGAGAAAGTATTGAATGTATCTATAGGAAATTTTGTAAATTCCAATTAGGGGTGGGGTAAAGATTTTCAAATGCGTCCACCTATGAAGAATGTGGGAGACTTCCTTTAAGTCTATTTATTTTGTTAAATGTATAAAATATTGGTGAAGGTTATTAAATATGAATAATGATTCCCTTTTACCCAAGATTCCATTTTGAATCTTATATAATGATGAGAAATACATGTGATAGAAGGCACCCAAATCGGGCAAATATGGTTTTGGCTATGCTTGGATGACACAGCATCTTGGTAACTCAGATTTGTTTAACCAGTTATTGTAACAACGAGTTAGAGACTGGCACTCTTGGTCTCAAACCCCTCTTTAAGATTTTGTACACAACTTAAATCAAACTTTCGATGTGAAAACTAGAACTATAGAATAGAACTACATTGTCAAAACATTGAATTGGTTATACTATACTTGGTGTCCAGAAATACATAAGAAATAATTCTTCTGATGAATGAAGATGAATTTCTTTGTCCATTTTGTTGTGTGCTTGAACATGGAGCGCACGTAATCTTCAGTTGCCCTCTGTACTCTCAAACAAGAAGTAAATATTTGTCAAAGTATAACATATTTTTAAACCATTAAATTGTAGGTATTATTATTTATTTCGTATCTTACTATGTATGCTACTAATGTTCTGCTTGTTCCATATTGTTCATACCCACACTGTGAGTCACGTGACCTTAAACATGAATGTACTTAGGCCTTTATGATATTAAATGCTTGAATCCTTTAATATTGGATGTTGTAGTTAAGGATTGCTTCAGCTAAATATATATGAATTGTACAGAGCCAGGGCAGATGTGAGTGCAGCTTCGCGTTTATCGACATATCTTAAAGGCCGACCACGGTCTACCTTTCGAACATCTGTATGTTGATGCTGTTATCAGTTTTATCATGTTGTCATGAGGCAGCAGACCTTTCGTTTATGTGTGTCAATCAGCCCTGTCAACTCAAAGGACGTCATTCCTAATTTCTACTGCTGGTTTTATTCTGGGATTTTACAACAATAAAGAAAAAGGTTTGAGGAATATGTGATTGATTTACAACTTAAAAACAAAAAAACCCGGCATTCTTAAAAACATTCGGGGCGGTCAGGTAGCCTAGTGGTTAAATCGTTCGCTCGTCACGCCGAAGACGCGGGTTCGATTCCCGACGTGGGTACAATGTGTGAAGCCCATTTTTGGTGTCCCCCGCCGTAATATTGCTGGAATATTGCTAAAAGCGGCGTAAAACCATACTCACTCACTCACTTAATTACATTTGATAATCACTATAACAGATATTACTAATAACAGTCAGATGAGGAGATTAACCTAAGCCATGTTTCAAGTTACTTGTGGTCGGCCTAAGCCACCTTAGGAATTCCAAGGCTGTGTAGGCCCCCATCGACGGAGTGGATCAGTGATCATGCTCTCAAGAATTAGTTTTTTTGACTAATGTATATTTGGATTATTGTTGACTGCAACGTAAAACAACACTCGTCCCTTACCCACGCGTGTGTAGAGAGCAGATAATGTCTCGACAAAACGTTATGTCACTGAAATCAAATCTCTGTTTGATATGTTTGGTGTACCTCCAGGTGTATGTGTTGACAGTGTAGTGGTAGTGTATTCCCTCACGGCTCAGTGACACACTAGCCTACTGTACATTGTGATAACATTCACAGTCATATGACTATAGATTCGCCCAAACTAGGATAACCGTATGCATGAGGACATTCTATGTATGCTGCCTTGAGTTTTTAACTTTTCTGGCGCTTCTATCCGGACTAATTGCTGGACATACGAGCCCTAGTACTCGCGAATCACAATGTTTTTCAAATACTGACAAACATGGATTTAAGCAATACCTAATACATATTTTATGCAATATAAGTGAAGATTGTTATCGCAAGCAAATACAATGAAAATATTTTGACGCGTTGACGCATTTATATCAATGGTAGTTTATCATATGTATGTTGTGACAGTGACTGCTATTTAACAAGAAGTTGTTATACGTCTTAAACAGTTTTTGACAAAGGACACTATGTCGTGTTTTCGGTGACAGCCTTGTCCTGTGAGATGATGGGACCAGGTTTCCAGTCTGGTTCGTTGTTGACAACAACAGCAGAGGTTTTGGTGTCGACCACGCGACGAGATGTACACAGGAACACTCTGAAACACATGGATATGCATTTGTTATTCATATAATAGCTCTTTCCTTACATGATTAGTAGAATTGGATAGCTAATGAGATTGTATCTCAATCTTTCCATTCATTCTCCTGTCAACTTTAGGTACCAAATGTACATTTATTGCAAACGCCAATGCAACATTAACATGGGTATAAAATAGCGAAGTGTAAAAACAATGAAATATAGACATAATGGTTTAAATAGAAGACAGGTTACATAAGTCTTTTTTGGGAACTAACACTATGATAGTGTGACGTAAAGCTTTAACTCACTCACTCACTCACTCACTCACTCACTCACTCACACTATGATAGCTGCTGACAACAGTTGGAATCCCGCACAGACGAAAAAGGCGAAGCCACGCAGTATCTTCACAGTGGCATCATACATCTCGTTGAAAGCTGTTATGCCTATAGTTGATGAGATGATGTTCACAAGTCCAATACCGGCAAACAGTGATCCTGAAATCAATGTTCAACATAACATTACAAACGATATTTAGGAACAGTACTCAACCGCCTATAAAACATGTTACAAAATATTTCACAGTGTCAATTGGCATCTTTTCCTCAAGTGTAAAGTTCCTTTTATTTTTATTCCTTTTAATTAAATGCTTTGTCAGTGAACAAGATGAACCAAATGAATAAAGACATCATCTCAATTATGCTATGGAAATATAATTCCAATATATTCTACATAGATAGTGGTCAGTGAGGTTTTGTTGTTTGTTGTTCAGCGACGCACTTGGCAAACCAAATATCCAGCAATGTGACAGCAGCTTGTAAATAATCGAACCTGGACCAGACAAACCAGTGATGTGCGTTGTCCCAAGTCATCAAGGTATGTGGCCACGCATTTAACCATCAAAATGAGTGTGACCACCCGTTCCAATCAGTGGTCGCTTACAAGCTTAGACTGATGGGGACATATTCTAGCCAGAAATCCCCCGACTCGTTTGTTTGTTGTTTAACGCCACACTCGACATTATTCCAGTTATACCACAGTGGTCTACCGAATGTAGGTTAGACAATCAAGTGATTGATCCACTCATTTGAAATATGATGACATGCAATCATCAAATAAAGCGACAAAACCCTTTCCACATCCAATAGAAAGCTCTGCTTAAAGCAGAGTCGATAGTACGATTCCGACCATGTCATAAGCATGTGTTTATGAATCACTATCAAATAGTGATGATTCGCGAAAAGGTTAGGGTTAGCGCATCCTGCCCCACCGGTGGAACCCTTCACAAACACATAGGTAGAGCATTTATAAATGTCGGTGTATACCTCAGGGTCAATAAAATGTTACACACTGAATAATCTGAATTCTTTCCAGTCTATTAAGTTGTTTTACGTGTCAAATGACATCACTATACTACTATGAAATGTACACTAACAAATTGGAACGTATCTTACGTGGCATTTTAAAAGCTGAAGTATCAGTGTGTGTTTGTGTGATCGTTGTTTAACGCAGCACACAGCAATATTTCTGTTATATGACAGCGGTCTGGAAATAATCGAATCAGAACCTGACAACCAGGTGATTGACAACATAAATATCGATCCCCGTATCCAATAAGATACGATGACATGCAATCAACCAAGTCACCGAGCCTGACCCGCCTCGTAGGATAAGCATGGGTTGATGAGGATCTTTGTTCTAATCGATAATTCCCTTGGTTATTATCAAATATATGTTACTATTAGTGAATTAACCTTTAAAGAAAGCATTCTTTCCAAATTCCCTCAGTGCATGTTACATATATTAAGTTTCAACATATCACTTTACTGCTCAGCTTCAATGCGGTATGTTAAGGAAACTCTTCACGATATATGTGGTTGAATTAATCTCATAGTCAGAATCAGTGAGAGCTTTAAATTTCTTGATTTCTAATTTATGTTTTGAAGTTTTTCTAACAGATAATGAAATAGCAACAACATTGCTTCTGTAGAGCATTTTCGGAATGGTTTACCATTTCCACTCGTTTGAACTAGGTAAACTGTTCTTAATTCTTGTATTTATACATCTTGCTTAAATGAAAGTGTCCAAAGTATACTCTTGACTGTAAGGGCGGTGGGGTAGCCTAGTGGTTCGAAGACCTGGGTTCGATTCCCCACATGGGTACAATGTGTGAAGCCCATTTCTTGTGTTCCCTGCCGTGCTATTGTAGGAATATTGTTTAAAGCGGCGTAAAACCATACCCATTCACTCCCTGTACTGTAAATGGTGACTGACACAAGAACGCTGTCTGTGACTGAAATCCATGACTTCATCTTTGACATCTGTCTGTGTACTCACCCTGCATTTCAGCAGGAGCCATCCGCGACATGATAGCCCTCAGTGTCGGCAAGAAAGGGGCTGCAAGACCATTGGGCAAAACAACTACAACAAAAAGACATCAAACAGCAAATAGCAACGGCTGATAATACTTTCTGATATATATAGCAACCATATAATCTTCCTTGACCATTGGGCAAAACAACAACTACAAAAAGACATCAAAAAGTAAATAGCAAAGGCTGATAATATTTTCTCATATATAGCACAATATAATTTTCCTTGGGGCATGAATTCTCACCCTTTTGCCGGAAACATGCCAACTTCTTGGAAACATTTAAAACCTTGACGCAATTGTTCTGATGACTTACATGAGAAAAGCATGAAGTCAGTGGTGGCCAGGCCCTCAAGGACAAAGGCTCCTGCCTGTATGACTCCTGTTATGATACATATTCCTGGGTCTGAGGTGCACAGATGGAGGAGTTTGATGACTGGAATCCCCAGTAATTGCATGGTGAGGCAGAACGCCATATTAAAGTAGCCAATGAGCTCTGGTCCCCAACAGAAAGGCAGGTTTAGTTGGAAAAGATATTGCACAATGTACACCCCAGCCTGACCGAAAAAGGATATAAAATATGCTGCAAGTATAAGCCAGAAATAGATTCGCGTTGGTCCAAAATCTTTTGAAAAGTAGAATCCAAATACATTTTTCACTGCTTTCATTGGAGTCGGGTATTGAGATCTTCGATCCGTGTGGATAGTTTCTGGGAGAAGAAGAACAACAAGGAGGAGAGAGAGAAGCATGAGTGAGGTTGTAGTTATCGACGGGTAGAGATAACCTAGGTCTTTCATGAAGTAACCAGTACTGACTGAGGAAGCTGCAGCAGCCAGGTAGGTGGTGAAATCTATCACAGCGATCCATATTGTGCGAGAGTTCTTAGGTGGTGTGTTGTCAGCCGTGTAGGCATAACTAGCTAGAATCACACCATTGTATCCCCCTGAAATACCATCTAAGGCCTCGCCAATGTACAGGTATCTCAGATCGAGATTCCAGTAAATAACAGCTGTTAAAAACACATACCTTAGAACCTCTCCAATTAATGGTACTATAAAGAGGAATCGTCGACCAAGAAAATCAGAATATGCCCCTAGAAACAGACAGCTTATTACTGATAAGGAGCTTCCAATAACTGTGAGTATAGTTTGACAGTTTGATGTCCTTTCTTGAACTATTTCCTGTAACATATATCCTGGATCCGACTTGTTAACGTAACAGGTTTGATTTGGAGTGTTGGCAGACCCTGTGCTGTTATCGAACACCTCATCGGAGTACCTCTTGTAAAGATATTGTGTTACCAGTGGATTACGGATATTGACAGCCAAATGGAAAACAAGAAACACAACGTTAGCCTTGAGTAGATTTCCAAGTGTTGACTTGTCTTTTTTAACTTTGTTTTCAAGTAGCGGTGTAGACTCCATGTTCCCCCAGTATCATGCCATCAGTCGATTGTGAATACCACATGATCTGTATCCTAATATCATGTGATAGATGTACAGTGTATGTAGTCGTATCTCTAACATAAGTGATAAACACCCAGTTATCCGTCATCCAGACCTACGCACATATCACTCGTAGGGTGAATGAACTACATATGCATGGCTATTTTTGGAATCATTATGTGTCCTGATTTACTGATACATATATGTCTAAAGTGTCTGAAAATCGGGCACAGTTGATATATATTGGTCAGTATGTTTATTGTACATATTATACTTATACTCATCCACTCATTAGTGACAGAAGTATGTTCTATAATCTTAAACTTTGCTTCATCCATTGATGGTCACAAAGACGAATTAATGGATATCTGAACTCTTCTGCTGAGCAAAGGTACATTATTAATCCATGATTTAACTTTACCATAACCATCCTAGTTGTACGACATATGTATGCCAATTTGGATAGCTTCAAATACATGCCATGGAACCAGATTGATATTCAGAAAGACATTACAATTTGTTACTTATGTTACGTTCTGATTAAACTAATCAAATACAGGTATCAACACAATATATCAAAGTAATTCAGGTAGAAAGAACCTCCTCGGTTACATACTCCACAGATTAAACATTATTGGTAACGTTGGTTGGTTGGCTGGTTGGTTAACGCCGCACTCAGCAATATTCCAGCTATATGACGGCGGTCTGTAAATAATCGAGTCTGGACCAGACAATGCAGTGATTAATATCATGAGCATCGATCCACGCAATTTGGATCGATGACATGCATCAAACCAAGTCAGCGAGCCTGACCACCCGATCCCGTTAGTCGCCTTTTACGACAAGCATAGTCACGAGTAACGAGGTTAAAATACATAACAGTCGGGCATCATGTATGGATTGTACTACTATATAAAACATGATGAGAATAAATGTTCTCTGGTACGTACATGTATATATAGAATACCAAAGGAGTTCTCGTGTAATACCAGTTTTATTTTATGAGCGAAAGTGAATCAGATACCGGAACTATTCACGAGTTTCATAAAATTGCTTTACACGGAAGTGAGTTTAGTATGTTATTTATTATTTGCCCCTTGTGACTTTTTAAAAATTTACTCTCGTTTGTGATGGGCAGACATCTATGCGATCAACAGCATAACCCTATTGAGTTTACCAGAATCAAGCTCCAAACACATCAAAAGTTGATACGTATTAATTTAATACCATAAAACGGCCTCCCTTTAGAATTCAGGAGTCCGACCCAGAAAGCTTTGTAGTGCTAAAGTTATCGAAACTCATAGACTTAGGACTGTCGTGCGCTTTGATAGCCTTGCAGATAGGGGCTCTGCACCACAAAGTTTACAATCACCTCAAAATATCCTATGACGTAGTTTGTTGAATTTTGTTGCATGATCCACCTGCGAAACATGTAACGTCAGCTCAGCAAAGGGATTGCTGGGGTCATCGAGTGTGCATAAGCTCCTCTCAGAGATCTATCATCTCTACATGCAGTGTCATTGAATAACCCGAGGGATGTAGGGAGTTTTCAAAATTTGTCAGTGAAACATGTTCCTGCAGTACTTATGCTAATGCATACACTCACACCATGATAACTGTAGACAACAAGTAACAGGCATCACATTCAATGAAAGCGAAGCCATTGAACATCCTCACGATGGCAGTATACATCCGGAAAGATCATTTTAGCTGATTTTTTTTTTTCATTTGATTTACAGATTGCGCTTTTATCAAGTAAGCATATTTCGTTGTCAAAAATTTGTATGATTCAAATGACACATAACTATTCATAAACTATTCAGGAATTGCACTCACGAATCGATGTAGTGTCATGTCAGAGTCACGGCTCACAATTCAATAATAACAATGTCCAGTTCATTACATGAAATACTTCTCTCTGTCTCTTTGACGTAATGTATCCTTGTGTCAGCAGTAAAAGAAAACAGTCCCATAGTTCAATAAGATGTGGAACTGTTTTCAAGATATCGTTTCAAGAATCACGAATTACTCTTTAGATAAACCAGGGTGAATTGGTAACAGAGTGTGGTTGTTTCATTCAAAATGGTTTCAGTTTCTTATCAACTGTACTAAGATGGAAGCAGTGTTGAGTATCAACATAAACTTTTGTTTAACGTAATTTTTGAAGCAGATTGTTGGTGCTCAAGTTATGTCAGAATGAAACTAAATCACTTCCTCCCCAAAAGCGATAAAATAGACTCTTCAAACGAAGTTCAAGAATTAGAAAAGTATTCGTAGCCTTAAACAACAAAAAGCCATGGCTTAAATGTGCGTTGTTCACAAAGGGACATAAATAAGATGAATTCTTCAGTTGAACAAGTTATGCCTGAGTTCACTTCATTTGAAAGTCATGGATATTATTACTCGGGCTTACATTTACTCATGGCATAGAGAATGTGCACAAGGCAGATGCTGAAATATCATAACAAGATGAAACTTCTGAAGTGATAGAAATAGCACAGGGGTACTTGGATAATGGTTCAACTGCATTTCAATAATAGATTGTATAGTTTGGTCAAAGGTGATAAAAAGCTTGACCTTAGTTGAGGTCAAAATCCAGTTGTAGAACAAAGGGATGACTTCAATGGAAATATGAAAAGCAACAAGTGGTATTTAAGGAGGTCATACCAAAGATGTTCAGAAATATAAGGAAGGGTATTCTGTAAAACAGTCAAAAGCATATGGAAAAATTTGGGGCTTGTGTTACACTGGTGATCAGTATGATATTTCTCATCGCACTGAAGGTAGGTTAGACAACACAGAAAACCAAAAATCGCTGCTGGTAACGGTATTCGGAAACAACTGAAACGCGTTTAGATACCAGTATTTCAGTCTCCTTCAATTACAGTATACAGACTTCTTCAATTGTGACAGTATCATGTGAGGCCTTTAAAGTGACAACATGTGCTAATGTTTCTCCCCAGTACTGGAATTTAGAATAGGAACGTTCTGTTAAAACAACTTAGAAATAAAAGTTCACATATAAAAGTGGACTTAATCAACAATTGAGTGAGTGAGGTGGGTTTAACGTCGCTTTTAACATTATTCCAGTCATATCACGGCGTGTCCGCTTAATGTGAGAGGAAAGCCTGAAGTGATGCAGGTCTCGGACATTTACCACTTCGGTGAAACCCACGAGCACGGGTATGGTGCTGACAAACCTAAAAACATAATCCAAATAGGTAGGTAAACCTGTTAGAATAGTAAATAGTGTAGATATTGGTGAATCTCCCAATTACTGTTTACTGTGACATACACAGTAAGAGCATACAGGAAATTGCTATTATAAGAAAAGATCAAACAAATAGCTGATACAAGTACTTCATCTTTCATAGGCATCAGTTACCGTGTCCTGTCTTGCATCGGTCTGGTACTCACTCTGAACTTCAGCAGGAGCCAACCTCGACATGATAGCTCGCACTGCCGGCAACAGGGGAGCGACAATACCGCAGGGAAAAAACAACTGCAAACAAAATAAATGAGTTTATGGTATATGTGGCAAATATATGATTTTGTTTCCCTTTTCTTGAAAATCTTCAAACTAAAAGTTACTTAAAATTTTGATTAACGTGTTACAGCCTGGAGTGAATATGCATTGAAGTTGTCATCATGTTATTCTTTAAGATGTATCCATTCCTCCATTATAACAGTGCCTTCTCTACCTTATTCTTCAACAGATAATGTCCATTATGACTAACCTGTTAAAGGCATGAAGTCAGTGTTGGCCAGGCCTTGTAGGACATAGGCTCCTGCCTGTATGATAGATGTTATGATACATATTCATGTGTCTGAGGTATATAGATTCCTAAGAATTGCCTCGTAAGGGACAACGCCAAATTGTAGTAGCCGATGAGTTCAGACTCCAACAGAAGGACAGGTTCAGTTGGAAAAGATATTCTATAATGGAAACACCATCTCCACTAAATATATTTCAAAATATGGTGCATTTGAGAACCAGAAAAGGATCGCTTTCGTCCGCAATCTTTCGAAAAGTAGCATCCAAAGCCATTTTTACCGCTTTTACTGGTTTTGGGTTTCGACATCTTCGATCCGTGATGATACTTTTTTGGAGAAGACAAACGACAATGGGTGGAGGGATAAGCATGTAGCAGTGACGGCGGGGTAGAGATAACCCAGATTCCTAATGAAATATCCAATACTGGCTGAAGAAGCTGCAGCAGCTAGGTGGGTGGTGAAGTCTATCAGCACAATGCCTTTTGTGCAGGAGTTCTGGGTGGTGTATTGTCAGCCGTGTAGACATAACTAGCCATCATCACACCATCGTACCGTCCTGATAAACCATTTATGACTTCTCCTATATTGAAGCATCTCAGGCCTTGTTTTCAGCAAATAATGTCATCTTCATATACATGTATTTCAGGAACTCATCGATTAAAGGATCCATAAAAAGACATTTTCGACCAAGAAAATCAGAATATGATCCAAGAAACATACATCTAGAAACGGGCTTGATGTAGCTGTTAGTTAAGTCCGAATGTTTTATGTCCTGTCTTGTACCTGTTCCCGTAATATATATCCTGGATCCGACTCATTAACATAACACTTTAGGATATGGACTGTGATGTCACTGAACACCTCCTCAGCGTACCTCTTGATAAGATATTGCGTTAATAATGGATCCTGGATATTGACAGAAAAATGGAAAATAAGGAACACGACGTTAGCCTTGAATAAATTCCCCAGTTTAGACTTCCTTCTTTGTCTTTGTTTTCTGGTAACAATGTGGTCGCCGTTCTCGTTAACGATGATTTGACCAGCGTTCACAAGGCTGACCGTACCCTTGCTAAGGATTTATCTGAGGTCGTGAATTTTAAACCCTGTAGGCACGTGACTTAGTGACCTCGTTTACTTGTGATGTACGCGAGATAACACAATGGAGCTGTAATATACAACGTGCGACATTTAAATAACTAGGGCCCAAAAAGCTTATTAAATGTGGGCTACATAATTGCATATCAGGTTCATTCGCATACAGAATGACACAGTTTTCGTCAGAGACTATATAAGTAAGACGCAACCAGGTTTGTTTTAAAAAATCGATTCATTGGAGAAAATACTGGACTGAATTACTGTGAATCATATCAGTACCTGGACTTGTATTAACGGTGAAAAAGCGTGGGGAATAATCGAAAATAAATTTGAAGCTTTGTATTGTGAACTTATTTTCAAAGTTTAGGTAATACGTTTAGTTAAAGGTAGATGCAGTGCTATGAATAATATGTGACACAACTCAATTTTACTTAATCTGCGTCGTGACTGTGGACAAGGTGACCCAATATCACCACACCGATTTCGCATACACATGTATGTGCCGGACGATTACATATGAACATATGAAGGCCTTGGCTATACGGTGTTGTATATTGTGTTTTCCATTATGCGACGATACCATTTTTACATTTTGAAAAGGGTTTATCAGAAACTTGTTTATATTAAACCTTTTTGGTACTACTTTCGATTGATTCATTTATTCACTCATTCATAATTTGATGACAGATGCAAACAAGTATGGATACCTTATAATGTAGGTTTATTCAATAAAACAAAAAGGTGTACATGACGCTTTTGCATGGTGTCGGTGTAGCAAGCATACTAAGGCTGTTTATATCCGTGCCTAATTCCATGCATGCGTGCAGTGCTATTCACATTTCAGTGCTCTGTGCTAGGTTGCTTTGGGAAGTTGGTTGACGCCATTCCGTGTCTTGTATTGTCACAGTGTCATCGTGTTCAATACGTCTGTTATGCTTATATGTCAAACAAGCAAATAACCTGAAAGAAAAGACAAAACTAATATATTAATCTCAGTATTCAGGAGTCTGTCATACCACATTGGAGTCTTATTTCGCAACATACACATTTATGTTTAGCGTCGCTTTGAACATTATATCAGTGATATCACTGTGTGGTATCTTAATATGGGCTTCATGACCTTCGTGACCAGGTCATGGACGTTTTAACAGTAAGCACGATTATGGTACTAACCAAGGATCATAATCGCGGCGAATCTGAGATTGGATTACATGATCATCGGATCCTGGCATGGCAAATGGACGGTATTATTCAAAGTGAACTATAGAAAACTGGGCAACCACGCTATTTTCTAACGCAAATAAAAACAACAATTGGGTAACATACTCACACCAAGAGCATAAAGGCAACCACATGTGTTCCAGCGAAGACAAGGAAGATAAAGCCTCGCATGAAGTTCACAGTGGCCTCGTAGATGTAAGCAAACGAAGGGATGAACATCAGCCCCCCCACCTTATCAGCGAGGGTCAGACTCGTAAAGAGAGATCCTGAAATACACTTTTGTTCATTCAAGATCCACTTTGGGATCTTCCTGCCTATTTCTATGTTCAAACACAAAAATACTTCTCTTTCTGTAAACACCAACGCACGACATAACCTTGACATCATCATATAACCCACACTCCGAGAAATAATGTTGGAAATAACTGTATAATAAGTGTTTATAAATATAATTGTATTAAATTATTGTGTATATTATATATTGTTATGTACTTGTTGCAGAAGTGTTATAGAGTTTATACATTATTGATGACATCAAATAGAAAAGTACTGTTTATATATCGCAGCATTTAAATGACAATACATCTATAGGTGGTACATGACTAAATTTGTTGTATGGAACCATTCATTAACTCTGCATCCCCCGATCTACGTCCCAGTTGCAGACTTGGTGTGGAAGGAAAACTTGCAAAAGGCACCCTATGCAAATTTAAGCAATGATGTGTGCTGAATGTGTTGGATGTACACTGCCATATAACATATCATCAGGGTCTGGCAGTGACATAGAATTTTCACGAACCTTCTCTCCTGGTACGTACTAAATGACCGCAGTTGACTCACGAATCTCCTCGGTAATGCATCCTCCAATGACAGTATTCAGGATAGAAAATGTTGAACGCAGCACATACCTTGACTGTCTTTCGGGGCCATTCTGGACATGATTGCTCTGATGACAGGTACGGCAGCAAAAGAGAGAGCTCCCGCCATTGCATCTGAAATATAAAAAGGTTAATTCAAATAGCGAAGTTAAGAAAAAAATGAAAAAGTTTTTAAAAAGCATGGCGTCTTCTTTTATCCGTCTTAAACATTTGAAAATGTGAAATATGTTATATCTTACATCCATACATCATCCAGTCTGTTGTTGCAAAGCCATGGAGAAGGTCCGCGACTATGAAGGTAAAGGCACTGAAGACACCAATGACCTCGTCTCCTATGCAGTAGTGCAGGAGCTTGATCAGCGGCACACCTAAGAGCTGCTTGGCCATTGTTGATGCCATAGTGAAGTAGCCTATCCTTTCCGGCGTCCAGCAGAACGGCAGGTTCATCATGAATAACGTGTTTATGTTGATTACCGCATTAGCACTGATTTGGGAGAAGAAGTAGCACATGAGACCCAACCAGAACAGGCTCCGTACCCGACAGGTGTTGTCAAACAGGTACAACCCTACCACGTTTCTTATCCCCTGAGTCAGGTTCACCTTTGATTTGTTGGTCTTTTTGAGGGAATGCTTACTTTCCCGTATGAAAAAGACGACAACAAGAATGAGCACCCACATGATGAGAGCAGACACGAGAGATGGGTAGAAATACCCCATATCCTGTATGAAGTATCCTGTGGCAGCACTGGTACCTGCATAAGCAATGCTGCTCGTTGTGTCTATGACTGCTATAGCTAATGTCCGAGACTTACGGGGTGGTGTGTTGTCTGCGGCATAAGCATAACTAGCCAGGAGTATACCGCTGTTGGTACTACCCAGTCCACACAGAACTTCCCCGATGTAGTACCAGTTTAGATCCAGCTCCCAATGAATGATGGCAGTTAGCATGGCGCTCCTCACCATGTCACCAATGGCTGGCAAAATGAACACGACCTTCCTGCCGAAATAATCAGAATACGATCCAAGAACTAGAGAACCGACTAATGCTGCGGCTGTATTGACGAGGGAAAAGTACATCTGTTGGCTTGTTGTGGCTTTCTGGGCCATTTCCTGAAGAATGTATCCTTCGGATGTTTTGTTGCTGTAGCAGGTCACGTTGGCTGGGCTGACACTGTCCCCTGAGTAGTTGCCGAAGACTTCCAACGACAACCTCTTATAGAGGTACTGATCGAGTGTCGGGGCATGAAAGGCTGACGCTACGTGGTACAGAACTGCTACAATGTTTCCCATCACCAAGTTCCTGATATTAAGGAGAGATTCCCCCTCCTTGGGTTTTTGTAGGAGTGGTTTCTTCTCCATTGTTGTGGTAGCAGTAGTGAATATAGTTCATGTGAGATGTAAATGTATTAGACTGCTAACATGACACACACATAAACTATGCCGCATTGATAACCATGTGTCGCGTGACGAAATCCTGCAGATAATCATGTGAAAGCGCCTCCATAATCTAGAAGATCGAGCGTTTAACCGGAGGGCGGAATAGGGTCGGTGGTCCGATCACCTGGCTACGTCATACCTGAAAAGGTTGAAAGGTGGTACTTGCAGCCCTACCTTGCATTCGGCATTAAGGAGATATAGCAAGATCTGGTCGGCTCGGAGACAGTATTTTGGTGTGGGTATGCATGTTAAACTGGTCATGTTATCTCGGTGAGCCAGCACTATAAAACCAATAAAATGCCTCACTGGTACAAGTAGCAAAAGGCACATGCATGTTGGTCCTAAGTGTAGGGGGGAGGGGGCAAGGGTAGCCCAGTTGTCTAAGGCGCCGCGATTCGCTGTGCAGAGTTGCGTCCCTTGGGCAGGTCAGAAACCTATGACTGTGGGTTCGTATCCGGTTCGCCCCGATTATGTTTCTAGGTTTGCCAGCACTATACCCGTGCTCGTGGGTTTCACCGAAGTGGTAAACGTCTGAGACCTGTATCATTTGGGGCTTTCCTCCCACATTAAGCTGACACGCCGTGATATAACTGGAATAATGTTAAAAGCGGCGTTAAACCCAACTCACTCACTCACACTCAGCTAAGTGTAAGAATCTTGAACGAGACGTTAAACCCTATTCGAGACGTTACACTCCTCTTGTGCAGAAACAGGTACATTCATACATTATGTGTGTGTTTCATACACACGCCATCAACCAGTGGTGGGTGGTTAAAGATCACTCGTTATGATACATGGCCCTGCGTCTGTCGTGACCATCAGATATTGTGCGTTTTCACAACATAACTATGCTATTTATCTATTTACAATAATTTCCAGTTGGGCATTTGTAGGGACGCCAAGCATGTAAACGTGATGTCTCATATCTCAGAATGCCCTTGGATAATCACTGCATCATACCTCAACCTACAAGCACGGTGGGAGATACTGTTTCACATAGTTGAAAACATTCTCAAGCCTTTCTCGAAATCATGGGCCCTGTTCCACACAACACACACCACGTAAACAGTGAAATGATATACCCTACCCCCCAATTATTACAGGTATGATTAGGGGTAGAAGTTTTCAGATTATCTGACAAAGACTGTAAATTATCCCAATAACGTCACACAGCTGCCTAGGAGGGTGTCATGGTAATCATAGTTTCAGATCATCCGATTATTTCATAAAATTTCTTTGAAGTTATATTTATTGTGTATTTTTAACCGAATCACCGGTAGGTGGGTAGAAAATGTGTATACAACTGATTGCTATTTCCGGCTTAGTTTACGAGAAAATACACACGGTAATTCTTATTTCTGCATATAAAACAATGCCTAGAAGAAGAGATGCAATTTAAATGGTAAATAATCATGTTTAGTGATAATGTTTCTAAATTCCACATTTGCATTGATCAAGTTTGTTATCACCTGATCCTTGACCTGAATTCTCTGAATGGATACTATGTAGTTTATCATTGTACATAATATTATGTTGACAGAGAGCTGCGCCTTTTCAAGTCATACATGATGCATTAATCAACAACAAAACACGTATCAGTTGGGCTGCACCTCTTTATTGTAAACCTTTGTTATTATATACGGCTTCTCATTATTTGATGTTCCAGTCGAAACAATCGAAATTATAGTCCTTAATACGCACATTTTAAATCCGCGAAGAAAAAGCCCATCCATATTTCAATACTTTCAAACTTGGAGTGTTGTTTCCCTTTAACATTACCCAGTGCTTGGGTAAAATAGGTAGAGAGCAGTTATGTATCTCCATTTGACGATGTGGATAGTTGATAACCCTATCAATGTCCCCGCCAGCATGTAAACATGGACTGCACTTTGGATTAAGAATCGGCCAGGTGAAGCAATTTTACTGGTCAAGAGTTTTACCAGCTGAGTTCAACACAGGCCACAACAAATATTGCCAATAATGTATAGAGGTTATCACGCGAGTATCATGCATTATGAATAAAACTTGTAATGAGAGAGCATCGGTAAGGTAAATGCATATATTGTGTTTGTTCCCTTATACAGGATATTTACCATCCCAAAACCCACAAGCGTTATACGTTCTTTATCGCATATAATGTAATTCTTAATTTTTAGCCCTACAAACGGTTCCTAGTTGCAACATTGCAAGTTTTCTTGGCATGTGCGATTAATATATTGCGTCCAAAGGTCGGTGCTTAATCACCAGTGTGTGTTTGCGCGTGCGTATGTGCGTGTGTTTGCGCGCACCAACAGAATTACTTAGTCGAAGCAGGAACGTCTAGTTACGACAATAGGCGCAACACATTATATGCTAGGTATTAGCTGAAAGTATCACAAAAAGAACAAACAGGTCGAACTATGCATCTATTTTTTTATGTCTATGGTTAATCATCGGAATATACTTTTCTCTAAGATGTTCAAACTTATCACATATTAATAAAACATCAAATTCATCGTGAATTTCCCCTAATTGGCAATTTTTACAAATACCCATTTCAAAGTCCCTTTTTTCATATCTACGTCAAAAAGTTAAGCTGAAATTGCGAAATGACACTCTGAATTTACATAATGCCCTGACAACCGATTTATCATCCAACATACTTATATACTTCTCTTGTTCTGATACCTTGTTATGGCTAAAGATATTATACTATCGTGCCAGTTTTGACTATACATATCCTGTAACCTTTGTTTAAAAGAGTATAAGAACGAATTTGTATCCCCTACATCTTGGGATATCTACACAAATTAATAGCCACATGAAAATAATAAATATCTGACACTGGGCACCCATTTCGTTTTGCCTTTGTCATCGAGAGCTTTCAGTAGTTTATAACATTGGTAAGGATATCTTTGCGGCTCAATCCTCAGTGATGTTAACCAATATTTTGTCTATCGAAGTTGACTTAATACATGAATGGGATGACGTCCTGTTTCACCTAAAATAGATTTGCTGGAAGCATATTTTCCAACCATTAAAAAGCGCTTAAAGTAGGAAGCATTTACTTTTTCAAAAGCGTCATTATATTTTGCGCCCTATGTTTCTGCTCCATATAGCAAGATTGGCCCGATTTTGCCGTTAAATATAGTAAAAGCTGTAGAAAAGGATACATGTATAATTTGGTATTAAAATAAATATTGGCATAATTGCTTTTGATGCTTGCGATGCTAGTTGTTTGCACGCAACTGACCATGATAGTTTAGATGATAGCGCCAAGCCTAAATATTTAGAATAAGTAACAATATTTACTAGGCGAAATCATTATATGTCCATTTTTCATTTTTGGCAATGATGCCTCCATTTCTAAAAGAAATCACATATGTTTTTGATAAATTAACTTCATATCCCCATCCACTGCAAAATGAATATAACAAATTTAATTGTTTCTGTAAATCATTAACAGAATATGAAAACATTACAATATCATCAGCAACTAGAAGTAACATCTCTAATATCTTGTGTGACAAACACACCATGATGACATGCGTTATATATTTCTGTCACGAGCTCATTAGAGAAAAACACACAACAAAACGGGACTAAATATACATCCCTGGCGTACACCACTAGATGTTAGGAAGCACTGTGTTCTACCAGATTGTGTTTTCATGCAAGCCTTTACCAGTGAATACATATCTCTATCTACATAATCGAAAGGTTTTTTTTAAATCTACAAATGCACAATAAAAGCGACTCCTAAGTTTACATAAATATTCTGAACCTAAAGCTAGCAATATAAATAGATTGTCAACCGTTGGATAGTTTGGGCGAAAACCAGCCTGAGATTCAGATAGAAGATTATTCACATCCAACCAAACTTAGACGCTTTTATGTAATAAAAGTAAACACCTTTCCCCTTACATTTAAAACAGAAATACCCCTGTAATTACTAGGCTCAGACCTTGTACCCGATTTGTACAATGGCAATATCATACCAACGTTCCCCGACTCCGGATACACTCCAGTATTCATAATTTTATTAAATAATAATTTTAGATACGGTATCAGAATTTTGCCTGATAACCTATAACATTCAGCTGGTATTCCATCTTCACCGGCAGATTTTCCATCTTTCAGATTTTGTCAAGCACACTCAATGTCTTTCTCTGATATTTCACCTGATAATAGATCATCTGTAAATGGTTACTCGTTGCAGTCTTCACGTGAATGGGAATTTACAAACTGCGTTACATAACAATGAAAGGGTTTGGCTTCCAAGTTATTAAATGCAGGGTTAAGTAGGTCTTTAATATGAGTGAATAAGATATCTGGTGATAAGGAGTAACTAGAGGTATTACCTCGTATCGCCCTTTTTAATGAATTCCAGAAATGTTTACAGTCTCCATGTTTAGTTGCCAACTTTAAATCACCACACAGTTTTGCATCGTTCTTCGTCTTTTTAAGCATTTCTTGTACTCAGATATCGCATTGAGATAAAGGTGTAAATTGACATCACATTTATATGTTCTAAACTTGTTCCGCAACCTATATTTTCTAGATTTTAGATTAGTACACTCTATATCAAACCAGGGCGGTTGTTGCTTATCGTGCTTTGTAGCTACTTGGACATATGCTCCTGCATTTCTACCACAATAAATTAAAATATCGCTAAATTTCAACAGTATCAACATTATGTTTTAATGATATAGAAAATTCATCAAACATTCCTCTGGCACGGGTGGCCCAGTCGTCTAAGGCGCCGCGATTCGCTGTGCAGAGTTGCGTCCCCTTGGGCACGCCAGAAACCTATGATTGTGGGTTCGAATCCCGGTTCGCCCCGATTATGTTTCTAGGTTTGTCAGCACCATACCCGTGCTCGTGGGTTTCACCGAAGTGGTAAACGTCTGAGACCTGCATCACTTCAGGCTTTCCTCCCACATAATAGCTGACACGCCGCGATATAACTGGAATACTGTTAAAAGCGGCGTTAAACCTAACTCACTCACTCACTTACTCAAACATTCCTTAACTCGCAGTGCTGCATAAATATTTTTCATACGAAGTAATCTTATCTTCAGGGAGTCTGTATCCAACTGTATGATTTATTAACAAATGAGTAGTGTCAAGCCTCTTATTGGGTTGACAGGCTGAAGAGTACATCTGATTGGCAAATGGTCTGACTCAGTTTGCTGAAGAACCGACACATCTATTGTATTTGTGAAAATATATGGGGAAATAATAAAATAGTCAACAACGCTGCATCCAGAATGTGATACATAAGTAAAATTGCCTATGAAACCTGATTTAAATCTTCCATTAACTATATGGAAACCAAGTATCTTACACATATCTAATAATTCTAAACCATAGTTGGTTATGCCTTTATCTAGAGATTGGGTTTTAGTGTGATATATGATGGAACTGCTGCTTCAGATATTCCGCCCATAAACACATTGTGCTGTTCTATAGTAAGTGACTTGGAACTATTTTTATGTAGCAGTGGCAGCTGTATTAGTAGTATAGATCGCTGCTGGACCAGAAAATCCAGTGATTGACATCATGCGCATCGATCCAAGCAAATGGGATACGATATAATGCGTCAACCAAGACAGCAAGATCCCGAGTAAGTTAATGTCGTATTGACCCTCATAATAGTTTCTTACCTAAAGGGCGATAAGGCGCTAACGCGATAATGCGATAACGCGAAATCATTCAAAATGTCTCTTTGTCTTGCCTTAGTTAATTTTATCATTGTCTGCTTGATTTGTTATGCCAACAAAGCGACAGTTCCATATCTATTATTCCATCTATTACTGCACACTTTAGGAGAAACCCCTTCAAGAAAGTATAGGGAAACAGCTTGAACCTGTAAATTACTGATTTGTAATGAATCTAATAAAACGTAAAACACATAAACTCAATCTGAACTGTGGGGCAAAAGAAAGTATACACCCATGTTTGATGGTGTCTAAAATTGATAACCCCCAAGAAATGGTTATTAGATGGTGATGTATTTCATTCGGGTGTCAGAGTTGTGTTTTGCATGTTCAGTGTTTCGGCAACTGTTTTCAGCCAAGTAACGTTCGTGATGTTTTGTTGGAAACTAAATTGTAAATCTGCAGCATGTAAGGCTAAATCACGACACAGTGCCTTTTGTTCTCAACACTGAAAGGCCACAGGCTCTTGGTACATGTTTTACGCTGAATATGCGGAGAGGCTGTACACTCAAATGAATTTTTAATTGACATGGCATGATAAATATACATGTACGTTTCGAACAGTATTTGTATTGATTGATTTCATCAAAGAAACACATTTATCTGTTTTTGGATGAACGAAATCAGAGTCACTGTCTTTCTGTAACAACGTTAGGGCAGAGAATCCTGGGAAGAATACGAGTAGGAACATATATAATGATCGCTGCTCCTGATTGGCTGTGATATTAGATCGCCACGTGACTGCACGTGTGAACCGCTCCTCTCAAACGACGCCGACAGAGCCGGTGACGAATATGCCCGAGAGCCACTGTCCTGTATCGTCACTTCTTCTTCATTATATATGCCGTGTTCAGCACCACGGGACCGACATGCGAACACTCTGAAATCATAATGGACAAACACATGACGAGTACGCTTGATGAGGCAAATGAAGCAGGATCACATTCCCAGTCTGCCTAATCAGTTTTATTATCAAGATCAATTTATTAATTAGCGATTACCCAAGTCGTACATGTATGTACATAAAAAACAATATCAACATACTTAATATGTGCGACAAAACTCTTTCCATATTCATAAGAAATAGCTTCTGAAGGCAGAGTCGATTGTACGAATCTAGCTATATATGATGAGCATGGGTTTTGGAATAAACTATCAAATAGTGATAATACAGCAGAGTCCATTGTACAGAACGATACGGTATATAGACAGAGTTTATACTGTACTGAAATTGCTGTCATTATGCTGCAAAATGATTCATGAACACATACATGCATGTACTTATAAAATGTTTGAAATCGTAGAATGGACAGCAGGGATTTCTAATGATTATGGAAAGGGTTTTGTCGCTTATACTTATGTGGAGAGGATTATTATGTTCCTCATCTGTATTTCTGTGGTATATTACTCTCAAGGTTTAGTTCATCATAGCTTGTGCAATAGTCTTTTTTAATATTGGGTTCAGGTGCTGGGCAGTGCTTTGGTGTATACGCACATGAACACAGTGACAGAGAGCAGTTGTAGACCAGCCATGACGAGATAGACACTCCCTCGCATCACCTCAACAGTGGCCTGGTACAGGGAGTTGAACACCGGGGTTCCCAACAGGGTACACACTGCCTGAACCAGCATCAGACTCGTGAAGAGAGAACCTGACAGAAGATTAAACCAAGAGTGAACCTGTCAGATGATATTACCAAGAGAGGACCTGACAGAAGATATAACCAAGAGTGAACCTGATTGAAGATATAACCAAGAGAGAACCTGACAAAAGATATAACCCAGAGAGAACATGACAGAAGATATAACAAAGAGTGAACCTGACAGAATATATAACCAAGAGAGAACCTGACAGAAGATATAACCAAGAGAGAACCCGACAGAAGATATAACCAAGAGTGAACCTGACAGAAGATATAACCAAGAGAGAACCTGACAGAAGATTTAACCAAGATAGAAGCTGTCCTATGATGTAACCATTCAAGAAGTGAGAACCTGTCACAATTTATAATCATTTATGGGTATTGCTTTTGGCAAGATAAAGCTGACGTATTGAAAACGGTATCCTTAGGGGTCATATAGGGATAAAGATGAAAATATGAAAGGTTAGGAAGGTTTTATTTTCAGTGCTTACAAACAAACATGGAGTTGCCCTTGTCTATCGGCGTTCGAGTCAGAATTAACCATCAGGGATCTGGACTGTTGTACAGTTATGACACGTGAAGAGAGAACTCATCACAAGATATGAACATGTAAGCACTCTCTGTACCAGTATGAGAAACGTGAAGAGAGAACCTGTCACAAGATATGACCATGTAAGCACTCTCCGTACCAGCATCAGAACCGTGAAGAGAGAACTCATCACAAGATATGACCATGTAAGCACTCTCTGTACCAGTATCAGAAACGTGAAGAGAGAACCTGTCACAAGACATGAACATGTAAGCACTCTCCGTACCAGCATCAGAACCGTGAAGAGAGAACTCATCACAAGATATGACCATGTAAGCACTCTCTGTACCAGTATCAGAAACGTGAAGAGAGAACCTGTCACAAGACATGACCATGTAACACTCTCCGTACCAGCATCAGACACGTGAAGAGAGAACCTGTCACAAGACATGAACATGTAAGCACTCTCTGTATCAGCATCAGACACGTGAAGAGAGAACCTGTCACAAGACATGACCATGTAAGCACTCTCCGTATCAGCATCAGGCAGGTGAAGGGAGAACCTGTCACAAGACATGACCATGTAAGCACTCTCCGTACCAGCATCAGACACGTGAAGAGAGAACCTGTCACGAGATATGACCATGTAAGCACTCTTTGTACCAGCATCAGACACGTGAAGAGAGAACCTCTCACAAGATATGACCATGTAAGCACTATTTGTACCAGCATCAGACACGTGAAGAGAGAACCTGTCACAAGATATGACCATGTAAGCACTCTTTGTACCAGCATCATACACGTGAAGAGAGAACCTGTCACAAGATATGACCATGTAAGCACTCTCTGTATCAGCATCAGACACGTGAAGAGAGAACCTGTCACAAGACAAAAAACCATAAAAGCACAAATCAAACAAATAATTGAATCAAACAATCTATTTGCTGCTAAGTATCAGTGACATTTACATCAAATAAAAACAACAATTTCCTATAATTTTTCATATATGTCCAAGTACATGTACGTTTAGTGAAAGTTGATTTGCGCCGAAGTCAGCAATATCCTTGCTTTATCACTGCGGCATGTGAATAGCTTAATAATCAAGTAGTTTATGCCAACAATGCGATCCACGTGACCTTAGTCAGGGTCAACAAGGTTACTGTAACAACTGAATCCCTACTTAAGAAGGTTCTTCTGATAAGCATTGGATACTGGGTATGGTATTTGTATATGCTGATGCCTCTTAACAATACCATATCTTTAATAGAATTCGAAGATAGACATGTTGTATTTCAGTACTTTTAATGATTAATACCTTGTCTGTCTTTTGGTGACATTCTGGACATGATCGCTCGAACCGTCGGGGAAATCGCAAACGTGAAAGCCTCCAGTCCTGCAACTGATTTAAATAATTCTTTATCACAACCACATCAACATTATGTTACCAGTATGAGGTTTTCCTTATTAAAGTATGTATTTTAGGTCAGTGAGTGAATGTTGGTTTTATGTCAAAGTCAGCGATATCTTAGCCATTACACGTCGGCCTGGTGAATCGAAAATAAATCTGGGATACTAGTGTTTGATAGCAGGAGCAGCGATTAAACACACGCTCACATATTATGATCACATGAGCATCATATAAGACGACTCTAGTGATCTACTTTGCCCCAAATCAAGTTGGATTTACATTTGGTGAATTTGTTTTAAAAGATTGTTCATCCATTATCATGTGATGATGTTTCTCCTGCATCTTACCCCCATACATCATCCAGTCTGTGTACGCCAGCCCACGGAGAGTATACGCTGCCACCATCACGAAAGAGCTGGCTATTCCAATGATCTCATCACTGATACAGTGTTGGAGGAACTTAATGATCGGCACACCAAACACCTGCTTCAGCGCAGTCCCCGCCATTGTATAATACCCAATCGTTTCAGGAGTCCAGCAGAATGGTTTGTTCAGCACATACAGCGTTCCAGTGTTGGATACACCACTCGAAGGCAAGATGAAGAACAGGTACGTCACCAAAGCTAGTATAAACAGGAGACGGGTCTGTTTGGTGTCATCAAATAGATAAAATCCAACAATTCTTTTGATGCCTTTGCGGGGACCAAAACACTCTTTCTGTTGCACTTCTGATCGCGGCAGAGTCTCCGTGACACACAGAAGAACAAACACGACCGCCAGTAACATCAATATGACCGAGGTGAACGAAGGGTAGAGGAATCCAGTTCGCTGGATAAAGAATCCACTTGCCGTTTGGGAAGCAGCATTTGCAAGACTCAGAGTTGTTTCAAGAACGGCTATTGCTATAGTCCTGGTTTTCTTGGGAGGAGTGTTGTCGGCGGTGTAGGCATAACTCGCCAGGAGGAAGGAGTAGTCGTAACCCGTTATACCGGAGATTATCTCCCCAATGAAGTAGTAGTTGAAGTCCAGTTCCCAGTAGATGATGGCGGTCAGTGTACAGTATCTCACTATACAACCCGTCATGGCCACAACAAACATCACTTTCCGACCAATAAAATCAGAATAGGCTCCAACGAATACGATATTCAGAACAACAAATATACCCCGGGCCACTGTGAAATACATTTGTTTCCTTGATGTCATTTGCTGAGCCTTCTCCTGAAGAAGGTAATGTTTATCTGACTTGTTTACATAGCAGGTTTGATTAACAGAGACGTGGTGAGTTTCATTTCCAAACACCTTTTCTGTCATCCGTCTGTATAAATACTGGTCCATTGTAGGATTATGGAAATTAGTTGCTATGAAATATAGACATACCACGACGTTTCCTATGACGAGATTCCGAATGTTAAGGCTTTGACCTCCAGGCTTGGGCAGCAATGGGAACGTCTCCGTGCCCCGGCCACGGGTCTGCTTGTCATATACACTCATGTTAAAGGTTGTGTGGGTGGGTGTACGTTAGCCCGGGCCCCACTGAAGATGAGGTCGCAAGTACATGCAACGACGATGAACACCCACGTCATCACCGTATACAGCAACTTAACACACAAGGTATAGAGTACGTCGTCCAAGTGGCTAGGCTGTGTTCAAGTAAAAGGTGTATAGAGCGTTATGCTGTGTGTGTACTTTGATTTACAGATAACTGATAACCCCGATGTGCTGATCATATCTGTAAACATCCACAATGATATACATATATTGCTATAGTCCTAGTTTTCTTGGGAGGAGCGTTGTTAGCAGTGTAAGCATAGATACGTATATCAATAAAAAAATCAAATTAACATATTAACCTTTTCGTCACAAATTGCATAATGGACATAAACGTCACTTCGTAAATTGCATAAGGGATATCAACTTCACGTCACAAATTGTATAATGGAGTCCATAAGCTTCACGTCACAAATTCTCAAGTGGACATAAGCTTTAGGCCATAAACTGTATGATGTATATATATTTTACGTCACACTATTCACGAGTATACAAGAAGTACATATAAAGAAATTCACACAAAATGAATCGCCCACGGTTACACATGATTGATTAGTGTGAAAGTATGTAATTGTATGCTAATAGTTCTTCGGGTCCAACAGTTTGATATTCTCATGTGGTTGTGGTTGGGGTACGGGTTGGGGTGTGTGGGTCTGGGTTTTTATCGCAAACAAAAATTGTCCCCGAAAATTCAAGAAAAATATTATTATACTTCAAACTGTTGAAAACAAATTCATGGCCAGAGTTGCAAATAAAACAATATCTGGTTCTGTAGCTGTAGCTGAACAAATAAAATATCTAATTTCGATACGAACTCCCACCCCCTCCAGAATATCAAATGGTCGGTCCCTTAAAAGCTTAGAAAATGATATTCGAAACGCAATGTAAAATGTCACCTACAGTCGTGGATATATGAAGACACGTTTCAAGGCGTTACGCGGACAACGTATTTGCCTTATTTGCGACGTGAAGTATATATTCATTATACCCTGGTATTGAAGTCAAGAAAACATCCATTTCACAATTTGTGCCGTGACAGGCATATATCCATTGTACCCTGTTTGTGATGTGAAAGTTATATTCATTATACTATTTGCTACGTGAAGGATATATTCAATAATTATGCCCCATTTGTGACTTCAAGAAAATATCCCTTGTACCATATGTGACGTGAAAGTGATATATCAACTGTAACATTTGTGACGTGAAAGTCATATATCAACTGTACCATATTTGTGAAGTGAAAGTGATATCCATTACACTATTTGCGACGTGAAGGATATAATCGTTAAACCCCATTTGGGACGGAACAAAATATCCATAAAACTATTTGTGACGTGAAGGATATAAGCCACTAAATGTTATTTGTGACGGGAACGGTATCTACACAATATACCATTTTCCTTGAGGTATTGCTCCTGTATATCCAAGCTGCAAAATATGAAGGAAGATGCAGTTATTACGTCTATATTGTTGCTGATAAATGTCTAATTGACAGATGGTTGTGTAACTCAATAAAAGAACGACATTGGCACACATGAGGTATCTATATTTAAATCCATTTTTAATGTGCTATATACATCGACTTCTCGAAATGTATTCATCAGTAAAAGTTGTACGTAAATTCATATGGTTTTCCTTCATACAGATAACCGCTACAGCGACCGAAATAAATAAAGCAACATACAAAATATATTGATGTTCTATCAATACTCTCATTTACTTTAATTTTTGTACAAAGAGCTAGGGAGGTGTTTTACATTTTGAGATAGATTTGTCCCTCATATATTACATTCAGATTGAATTTAACAAGAAAATGACCAGGAGAACTTGACCGACAAACCAACGTACTTAAACGTGAAAGTCGAGTCCATTGTGAAAGCGACAGGCACTTACAGTCTAAGAGAGATAACTCTAGTTACCTGAAAAGAGAACGAATGTGAACACTGTCAGTGAGTTGGGGAATTCTAATGTGTCAAGTAACTGGTAAGAAATGGTAAGTGATCGCATGTTTTGTACATGTTGCTGGATGTATGGTTAGGTTGTGTGGAAGTGACGAGATTGTAGAAATGTCAGTTTGGGTCTAGATCTTAAATATACAAGTCGTGTTGTGACCAACTGTGTTACGATCTTTTACTATTATGTCTATGATGGCGTCTTGACGTTATCATGAAAACTACACACGATATTGTGTTTATAGATAAATATTTCATTTTCTACTTAGCGTCTGTAAATCAACTAAAGCCTGAAACTGTTACAGTACATAATATACAACATAGACAAAATAATGTCCGAAGGAGACTGAACGTAATACCCAGATGTATTGTTCTGGGTGTTTAGTTGTAATGGCAGTTTGTTTTCCCAAGGTTGAGATTTCGTTTCCTAGCATCAGTGTTCTGGTCCCCATAGCAATCTGAGGCAATGGAAATTCCACATATCGCAGCCAGAAAACACAATTCCACAAAGTGAATAAGAAAAGTAAAATACATATACACCTTTATTAAAAAAATTAAACATTTGCATTAAACATCACACAGCCTGATCATTGCATCCCTTACACTCTGTCAGCACACACGACAAGCATTGAATGCTGGGGACTATCCTTCTCCGGAATACTCATGCTGGGTTAGAATTAATGTATTCAACGGCACCTAAATCACATTTAGGTCATCTACCATTTGTAGAACTAGCAGCGAGTACGTGACTGACATATGCATATCCCGGCAGTCAACAATATGCAGCTATAGCTCGGCGACCTGTACACTGTAGTGGGTCAAACCACGAGCATCAAACCCAGCGATTTAGCCATGTTAGACACAAAACAGTTTAATTTTACCACAAGCAAGATATACTGGGGATCTAGTCTGCCCCCAAATCCCCACAGAGCATCGTGAGATAATTGAACAGTCATTCATCGGAACTTTATGACGTGAGCAATAAAATAACTCACATACAGCGTGCATAACAAACATATAATGAAAGCACTTTGGGATATTTTTTTGTATATAGCGTCTGTCATTCAAGTGCAATGGCCTAAGGGGATCATTTCAACTCTTGACAAAGGCAAGCCTTTTACCGGCGTCGTGAAAATGAACACCAGCTACTCGGCTGTTTTAATAAGCGGTCCATCCTCATTGCCATACGCCGACTGAACATGTACGTGTATGCTAGCCTGGGTGATCTCTGTCACCTCCTGGCCTGCCACCGACCGCGCATGCTCGTGCATTGTTGGATCTCCGGTTATGTCTGTCTGTGTCCCTTTGTGCACTGTGACCACGCGCTGAACATGTGGAACACCTGGTTGAACCTGTTGAACATCGCGATCGCGCGAAGCCTGCGGAACATCGCCGTTTTGTCTGATCGGTTTTGACACGAATATATAGATCCTGAAACAAAGAATAGGCGTGATAATTGCATCCTTCTATGATAACCCACGTGGAAAAGATTTCAGTGATAATACGTTCAGTTTACTATTACTATATTTACTATTATATATAGGTCTTTACGAGTAGGTCTTCGGTAAACCCATGCATGCCGTAAAATGTGACTATGCTTGTCGTAAAAGGCGACTAACGGGATCGGGTGGTCTGGCTCGCTGACTTGTTGCATGTCATCGATGTTGCGTGGATCAATGCTCATGATATTAAACACTGGACTGTCTGGTCCAGACTCGATTATTTATATGACCGCCGTCATATAGCTGGAATTAATGCTGAGTGCGGCGTTAAACAACAAACCAACCAACCAACTTTATGTTCCGCACTGTATGTAAAATGATCATTAATGGAACCTAAAACATTCATTCACTGGGGACAGTTTCTCTGTGAGTATGTGTTGTGCTCTAATTAAGTAAATGTTTAATGTGATAATCTCTCCTGAACAATGATACATACCTAAACCGGGCCCTGCGTTTGAATTTACTTATTCACTTCTCGGTTACAAGTTTACAATCAGGATAGGGGCACAATGGACCTACGTGTATTTCAACTAGATTCATAGCAAGGGAGTTTGACACTTTAGTCCATGCTCGTGCAGATCTATATTGTTTGTTTGTTGTTTTGAAATATTCCAGCAGTATGACGGCGGCCTGTGAAGTCTGGACCAGACAATCCAGTGATTGATATTATGAGCGACTTTCCACGCCGTCGGGGTTTGATGACACGAAAATCAACCACATCACTGTGCCTGACAATCCGATCCATTGTGCGGCCTCTTATGGTCAGCATAGTTTACTGGCGATCTATTCCAACCCGGAATTGCCACGGATAGGAGTATTATTAAAACTGCGCAGCAATCCTCGATCAATCATTAGCTGACAAAATTGATTTAAGACGGTCATGGATTGTGAATATAGAGGAGAAGAAGTAAATTAAATACTTACACAAGAACAATAGCACCGACAACATGTGTGCCTCCCAAGAAGATGAAGACCATCCCTCTCCACACCACCACCGTGTCCTGGTAGATGCTGCTGAAGATAGGAGTCCCCACCAGCGAGCACATCGTCTCCACCACTGCTATACTGGCGAAGAGGGAACCTGCAACAATACAACAGCAATGTACATAGATGTGTATTCTTTAAAACTACGTTTGTTTACACTGCAGTCAGCAATATTCCAGCTCTAACATGGTGGCAATTGTTAGGCAGACCAGTGACAGAAGGAATAAACAGTTGTGAGGGTACGATGACTTGCAATCCGCAAAAGACACCAAGTCTGACAAGCCGATCCAATTTAGATACCTCTTAATAAAAACAAATTAAGCAATAAAGTGCTGAGGACCTATCCCATTCGTGTCCCCGTGTGGTAATTATGTCTTTAGCATGTATTTAGGCTGAACAACAGAAAGCCACTTATTTTGTCTGCGGAGAGTCATCCGTTGTATCACAGGCTGTGAGTGAAGGTATTTCATTGACATGATATTCTTATGATATATTCAGTACATCCTCGATAGACACATTCTGACCTTGTTTGTTAGCTGGAGCCAACCGGGACAAGATGGAGCGAACAATTGGGAACAACGTGGCAGCAGGGGTTTTGATGCTGGCAACTGGAAGAACAATAATATGAAGAGTGTTATAAATCACACATAACTTAATAAATCTAAGAAAGGAACATTTAAATGTGTCATAGCCCAAATGCTATATCAATATTAAAAGCCAATGTTGATATTTGAATGAATATTTTCAGAAATAATGAACCGTCATTTATGCTATTACGAGACAAATGACTCTTTTCTTTATTTTTCAGCACATGTGATCGAAAACTTAAATGTCATCCATAATTTATTAAGTACCAAAAGGGAAAACGGATTATATTTCAATTCGTTACCATCACAAATTCCCGGAAATGTAAAATAGTCGATCAAATTCACTATCTATTACCTCCGTACATCATCCAGTCTGTGCTTGCAATAGACTGTAGGCTGTCTGCTACACCTATCGCCAGAGAACCAATCACTCCTATCACCTCATCGATACAGCAACACTGTAACAGTCGCGTCAACGGGACACCGATCACCTGTTGTGCCACAGAGCTTATTGTACTATAGTAACCTATTTTCTCAGGGGTCCAGCACAATGGAAGGTTCAGTTTGAATAGTGTTTCAATATTAGACGCCCCCACGCCTGGCAAGGCAGTGAAAACGAATATCAAGATAGCTAATATGAAACATATTCGCTTCCGTTTACTGCCCTCCAAAATATAAAATCCGAACACTCGACGACATCCTTCAAGAGGTGTAATCCAACTGTTCTTCGGTCTTTTAATCCCCCTTCTCTCAGGCAGCAGTGTCACCACCAGGATAACGTCCACGAGAACGATGAGTGTGGCAGTCAGTGCCGGGTAGAAGAAGTTCACGTCTTGGATGAAGTAGCCAGCTGCTGTTGATGAGGCAGCAGATCCTATGTTCTGAAAGAACTCCACGAAGGCTATGCCCATGGTTCGAGCACCTGTCGCCGGAGTATTGTCAGCAGCATAGGCGTACGATGCAAGCAATATAGCATAGTAGCCCCCTGTTAGACCGTCTATCCCTTCTGATATAAAAAACCAATTGATATCCAACTTCCAGTAGATAATGACTGCTGTAAATCCAAATCTCAAACAGTGGCCAGTCAGAGGAGCAGCAAAGAGGAGCTTACGACCAATAGAGTCCGAATAGGAACCAAGCATGATGTTGGTGATGACGGCTAGACTGCTTTTCATGATTGTAAACTGCATTTGTTTGGCTGCAGCGATCTGCTGTGACTTCTCCTGAAGGATATAGTCTGGGTTGGATGTGTTCAGGTAACATGTTTGATTCATTGGGCCTTTCCCCGCCACCGTGTGGTTACTGAACACGTCCTCCGTCACCCGTTTGTAGAGATATTGGCTCATCACTGGCGAGTACATCGACGCCCCTAGTGTTAATATGAATAATATCATATTGCCAAACAAGAGATTCTTGATCTGAGATTTCTTTACTCCAGATTCCGGAGTGTCCTCCACCTTTTGCAGGAGCGGCTCTGTTTCCATGTTGTATGTTGTGGAGTGCTCGCTTCACTACCTGTGATATCAACACCAATTTCGTCACATGATATAACGTCACGTGGACATTACTGTATAATATAACCTATTATAACCTAATTTTACAACAATAATCCGTGTACTGCCAGGGTTATAGATAACCCATTTAGATATAGAGACCAAATTGTGATCCTTCCTACACATGTTAGCGATCCCTTGTGATAAATATAGCATGTGACCTTTTAGCGTGACACACTCAAGACGTAACGAGGACTGTGTGTGATTTGGCAACGCCTGTTTCTCAATATCTTCTAAAATGCGACGTGCTACTAGCACATTACAGTTATACCTTTCCACCGACAGTATTGGCGGGTCAAGGAAAAAGACAATGTCGTATACAAAACAGCTAATTTTAATGATGTAATTCCTATTTGAGTGCATGCCATGCCATGTGTGGTGTCAAGGTGACTTAGGATCAATAGCAGACGGGAATATTTGAGGAGTTTTAATTTTGAGGTTTGTGCGGGTGTCCGGAATCTGTGACACATCTAGATAACTGAGTGGCGTTATCAGTATTTAGCTGGGGATGTGTGTGTCACTGAGCAAGTCATGTATTTCGTTGTGCGGATATCAACAAGCCCAAACAATGACGTGTGTGAGTTTGGTTTTACGTCACTTAGGACACTTTGTCAGTCAAATCATAGGGTGTCAGCTACTTTTAATATTTTTAAGTTTGTTTGTTGCATTTATCAACATTTTACAGGAAAACAAATAACAATGACCTCCGGGTGATATGAAATAACATCTATCTCTGAACATGTTGAGCAGCACCAGAGTGGAAACGTGTTTGTTTAGTCTAACAAAATAGAATAAGACATGACGATCAGAACTTATAAAAGGAATCTAATTTACAATCTTTTAAAGAGGGACATTTAGCGATTATTGTTTAACTTCATCCTGGAAAGTTAAGAATGGTGGAATAGTTTTGTGAAACTTACTTTTAAAAATCAAACTTGTATAATGTATCATGATAATGTTGATTGGATCATTGTTTCTGTGTCTTTGATGCACAATCTACAACTACTGCTATCTACATATCCTATTTTTGACAATAAATTATTAATCGATATGGTGTAGTATTCTGTATTGGAACCATTGTAAACTTGTATCTTGTGTAGACCTAAAGTGAGTTACATTGTTGTGTGGCCAATCGTTAGTCCCATTTTGTCCAGTGTTTAGTTTTTTTTGCATAATGCACTCAGTGACAGTTCATAGTAATATTGAGTTCCTGTGGAATGTTTCAAGAGTTGTTGTATATATGTGGGTAGGTTTGGGTTAGGTAGTTTGATATTGTTTTTGAATCTATGTTGGCTTTCAGAAAATATTGTTTTACAGGATTAACAATGCCCGTATATATGAGAAAGTGAGTAGTTTTCCCTTATCATCGATTAGGTCATTCATTCGACACCATGGTTATACCATTTTTTGAGTGAAAAATCCTTTTCGCCAATCTAGGTGTTGTTATTATACCAAATGCCTTCTGTAAGTATGTCATTATCTTGAATGATAATAAAGTCAATTTGAGAAGCGATCCAGAAAAAATAATAATTCAGCAGTGAAGCCATCGGGACCGGAGCTCTTGTCATTCTCTAAACATTTTATAGCAGGCTGTTCTTCGTCATATTTTAATTCGCCTGGCAAAGCTGCTGAACTTATTTTGCTTAATTTGCGGACATCATATTCTGTGAGCACGTTTTCCAGGTGAATATCAGTAACCTTTTGTTTCGTATATAATTTGAAGTAAAAGCTTTTAACTTCTTCTTTAATTCCATGTTGTTTTTCAATAACAATTCCTTTACTGCTTTCTAATCTTACAAATGATTTGTTTAGAAAATTTCGTGAATCTAGACCAAGAAAATAGTTTGTTGGTTTTTCTCCCTTTTCAGTCCATATAGCTTCAGCACTTATCACAAGGCCTTGATGTTTTATCTTACTGATCTATTCATTTTTTTTCGTTTAATACTTCGTTTCCTTGCATTAATTTTGGTTTTGTGGTTGCAATCCTTTTCCATTCTTTGTCTTATTTCATCCATATTTCTGGTTAAGCTAGATACTTTTTTTCTCTTTCTCGATTTTTATGGGATGAATATTTTATGGTTTCTCCTCTAATCATTGATACTAGACTGAGGGTTTTGAAAAACACCTGAATACTAAATTCATTCGTGTTATCATATGTGTTTTCGTATTGAGTAACAGTTTCAGGGATAGTCTGTTTTACCATGTTGACATACATAGCCAGTATCTTTCAAGGGAGAATTGTTGAATTTCCAAAACCACTTTCCATGCTGTAATTCTGTGAGATTAAATGACTTACATGTACATATTGGCGAATGGTCCGATTTAAAACTTGCGTCTATTGTCGCATCCGTAATCGAAGAGATCATATAATGAGATATCAGAAAATAGTTGAGCCCAGCTTGTTTTAATGGTGTTGACTGTCGCCATGTATGTCGTCTATCATTTGGGTATCTATCCCGCCATGGATCTACTAAATCTAGTTCATCTTTTAGCTGCGTTATTCTCTCCCTTGTCGTTTGATTATTGTTGTCTTTATAATGATAAGTATGAATAAAATAATTCTGAACCACGTTTCAATCTCCACATACCACAACGTGGTCACTGTTTAGGCTGCGTATCAGCATATCTAGTTTATCATAAAAGCTATTTCCGTCAGTATTTGGACCGTATATATTGATAAGAGCCAATGTGTATGTATCTGTCGTAAGTTCTATTGTGATCATATTTCCATCATCGTCACTTTTCACACCATCAAGGTTATAATCTAAGTACTTGGAACATTAAAAGGCTACCCCTATGGAATTACTTTTAAATGAACGAAAATAACATTTCTTGCATTGCCAGTCTTTGTAAATTTGTTCTTCCATACCTTTAGTGAAATGTACATCTAAAAGACAATATATTGAGGAACTATTTCTCTTTAAACATCTGGACATTTATTTTCGCTTTACCTTATCATTTAAACCTCTGCAATTTAATGTTGTGATTTTTATTTTATCCATTGGGGGTAGTTCGTTTGTGTACCTGATATGTATATATATAGTTCGGTACTGCAGCAAGCTTAAGGAAACGTACTGCTGCATTTAAACATAACTTACATACTGCCATATGCTATCTTATTTCGTGCCGGGCAGGTTGATATAAAGTAGGTTCATAAAATGTATACGAAGTGTAAGCGTGAGTGTCAGCTTGATGTAGGAGGAAATCCCGATGTGATACGTGCTTGGACCATTACCACATTGGTGAAGTGAGTGAGTATGATTTTACGCCGCTTTTAGCAATATTCCAGCAATATCACGGCGGGGGACACCAGAAATGGGCATCACACATTGTACCCATGTCGGGATTCGAACCCGGGTCTTCGGCGTGACGAGCGAACGCTTTAACCACTAGGCTACCCGACCGCCCCACCACATTGGTGAAACCCACGAGGACGGATAACAACGCTTGAAACATTATCAGGGCGAATCTGGGGAATCGAACCCATGGTGGTGAAAATAATAAGGACGGTCTGTAAATCATGAACATCGATCCACGCAATTGGGATCGATGACATGCCTGACCACCCGATCCCGTTAGTCGCCTTTGACGACAAGCATAGTCGCCTTTTACGGCAAGCATGGGTTGCTGAAGACCTATTCTACCCCGGATCTTCACGGGTCCCTCATATTATTTATTGATGAAAGGTGGTATTGATTGTGATACTAATTTGCCGCATAAAATGATTCATTTTACTGTAAATCGGATAGGACGGTGAATTTCAATTACAAACAATGCAAAATACACACTGTTGTGTTACATTTACCGGACAGCGACCATGCATGACGATGTTTAGTTTGTAATTCATCATCCGGCTTCCTAAATCCAAGGGGCAGGTATCATATGTGATCACAGTGTTTATTTAATCCTGTTATTACACAATCTGGTTATAAGAAAACGTGTTTATTGTATACCTGGATAGGTATATCTTTCATTCAATATTGCTTACATTAATTTCGGCGAAATCGTATCTGACCTGATTGGCAGGTCGCGCCAATATTTACAGCAACCCCACGATCAGATTACCGCCATTGACGTCTTGAAACGAACGTTAGTTGACGGAGATTGGACACATATAATACATGCCATATTTGGACTCGATAAAAGTGATATTTGTTGTAGTTTGATTATTATACTGCAACAAGACGTTTAGACGTTTATACAATATACCATATACCATTTGTGATGTGCGGGGCATACCCATTATACCATTTGTGACATAATGGTTAGATCCATTACACTATTTGTGACGTGCGGGTTATACCCATAATACCATTTGTGACATAAAGGTTAGATCCATTACACCATTTGTGATGTGCGGGTTATACCCATTATACTATTTGTGATGTGCGGGTTATACCAATTATATCATTTGTGACATAAAGGTTTGATCCATTAACCATTTGTAACGTGCGGGTTATACCCATTATGCTATTTGTGACATGAAGCTTAGATCCATGACACTATTTGTGACGTGCGGGTTATACCCATAATACCATTTGTGACATAAAGGTTAGATCCATTACATCATTTGTGATGTGCGGGTAATACCCATATACCATTTGTGACATAAAGGTTTGATCCATTACGCCATTTGTGACGTGTGGGTTATACCCATTATACTATTTGTAGCGTGAAGGTTATATCTTTTATCCAACTTCTGACGTGAAAGGTATATCCATTATACCATTTGCGACGTGAAGATTAGATCCATTATATCACGTATGACGTAAAGTTTATATCAATTATGCATTCGTAACGTCGAGGTTATATCCATCATTCAACTTATAACGTGACTGTTAGATCCAATTACGCCATTTGTGACGTGTGGGTTATACCCATTATACTATTTGTAGCGTGAAGGTTATATCTTTTATCCAACTTCTGACGTGAAAGGTATATCCATTATACCATTTGCGACGTGAAGATTAGATCCATTATATCACGTTTGACGTAAAGTTTATATCAATTATGCATTCGTAACGTCGAGGTTATATCCATCATTCAACTTATAACGTGACTGTTAGATCCAATTACGCCATTTGTGACGTGTGGGTTATACCCATTATACTATTTGTAGCGTGA